CGAGTTGACCCAGAGGGTCTTGGCGGGGCTGGTTTGTTTAAGCTCCACAGGAAGGGGCAGCTCATCTGGGGCTGGTGGAAGTGCTACAAATTCCCTTTCATGTCTTTCATCCTCCAGAGCCTCTTTGTCCACCCATTCTCTCTCACAAGATAGCTGTACTTCTTCACATGGCCCTTTAGTGCTCCAAGAAGGCAAAAGTGGAAGCTACTAGGCCTTCTTGGGCCTAGTTTCTAGAATTCATGTAATGCCACTTCTGTAACATTCTATTGGACAAAGTCACATTCATTTCCTCAACCATTATTGTTTGAGAACCTACTGTGTGTTAGGCACTATTCTGGGTTCCAGTGATAAAAGGTGAACAAAACAGACAAGGTCTCTGCCCCCATGGAGCTTACCTTTGGTTCTTGCACTTTCTGTAAAGTCGAGACTCCATATTCACTCTACTTAACACGTGAAGTAGGTCTGAGGTCTTGGTTTCTTTGGGGTGCCTTTGCCCCCACCAGAACAGAGAGTGTTTTTCTAGACACTCTTAATTAGAATGGACTACAATTCCAAGCTTTAGGTTCTGGGTGGAGGCCTTAGTTCCCCTTCCTCTGTGTCCCACAGAGCTGAGCCACATTTCTGTCCTCAGAGGTTATCATCTCTTGCCACAGAGAGTCTACTTTTGGTACTAAACCCCTAACCACAATAGCTCACCATTATCACTCAGCTTTAACTTCTCTCTTCCTTTTGGCATTGAAGGACTTTTCTTCTCTGCAAATTTGTCTGTATGTCACAGTATTACATTATACTTTACTAAGCACTACCCAGAGATGATGCCTGATAAGCCCTTGGCACTTGGAAATCACTGGGCAGATCAGGTGTCAGTAAGCTTTCTCTGTGGATAAGGACAGTGGGAGCCTCCAAAATTGCTCCACTTCATATCCGTCACCCACCAAAGCAGTCTATAAAGTGCAATATGGGCTCACAGTGGAATGACAGAAATTAGTGCCCTCTTGAACGTCTGAAAGCACAGTGATCACAGTGCCAGACCCCTCAGGGATGAGACACTGGGTCGCCCCACTGGGTAGGCTGCATGGAACAGCAGACGCCCCAGCTGAGGGTGGAGGGAATTTAGATGAAGAGGGGGAGGAAGCTGATGAGCACTAGCTGAGGTTACTAGATTCGGCTGCAGCAGTGGCTTGTCCCAATTCACTTTCATTTTCTGGTCAGAATAGAGATGAACAGGATGCCTGCAGTGGCTTTCCCCAAACGCAGTGGCCCTCTTCACGAAGCACGTGGATCCAAGTGGCATGAAGGTAGATTGTCGTGGATGCTGGGTGTTCTATCCAGGCCCCAGCTGTAGGAGTCTGCTGCTGCTCCTGCAACAAGTTACCACAAACTTAGAGGCTTAAAACAATGCACACTGGTCATCTTCCTGTCCTAGAGGTCAGAGTCCAAATCAGTTTCGTTGAGCTAAAATCAAGGTATCAGCAGGGCTGTATTCTTTCTGAAATACAGAGGGATGAGTCTGTTTCCTTGTCTTTTCCAACTTCCAGAGGCCACCTGCTTTCCCGGCTGGTGGACCCTCCTCCCCGGGCAATTGCATCCATTACTCTGACCTGTGGCTGCACTGCAAGTCTCTCTCTCTCTGTCTCTGCCTCTCCCTTTCACATACAAGGATCCCACCTCCAGTGTCTCTCCCTCCACTCCCAGGCAAGAACAAGATCACCTAGGACTGCTGGAAAGAGGAGAAGGGTTGTATTAGTTTGCTTGGGCTGCCTCAGTGAAACACCACAGCCTGGGGGCCTTCGACAACAGAAACACAGTCTCTCCCAGTCCTACAGGCTGGGAGCCTGAGATCAAGGTGTCAGTCAGCAAGGGCTGGTTCCATTTGAAGCCTTGGCTGTCCTTTCTCTGTGTTCTCACATGGTCTTCTCTCTGTGTGCGTCTGTGGCCTAATCTCTTTTTATATGTACATCAGTCATATTTGATTAGGGCCACCTCTACTGACCTCATTATATCTTCATTTCCCCTTTAAAGGTCTTTCCAAACATAGTCACATTCTGAGATGTTGGGACTTAGAGTTTCAACATGTGAATTTTAGGGGGGCCCAATCTGGCACCCATACCAAGGAGGAAGTTTCTGAGCCCTGCTTTGAAAAAAGAACCCTGGAAACATGGAAAGTTCCCCAGAGAAGTGCTTGGGGTGGGGGCTCCCCACTGTGGAGCCCATAGGTGCTGTAGGTCCCCAGAGGAAATGACTCAATCGTGTCTCTGGGCAGTTGAAGCTACAGGCAGCCTCGGAGAGTTTCCTGGGCAAAAATTAGCCTCATCACCAAAAATCAGCCAGGCTCAGGAATAGCAGAGACTGCACTCTTCTTGGCAGGTCCAAAGCACAAAACTGGAGGGCGGGTGGCTCGGAAGCACACTGATGCTTGGCACACTTGTGGACGTGCAGCCAGGGAATCAGCTTGACCCCTCCTTACGCTCGATGCCTGGGTGTTCCCTGAGCTCCCTGGGATTTTGGCAGTCCTGGGGAACGAACGTGAACGTGTGGGGAGGGGTGCTTCCCAGTAGACCTGTATCAGCCTTTCAGCATCCTGATGCAAAGGGACCATGGCCTAGGTTAAATTGCATTAGGAACAAAAAAGAACTTAAATTATTTGCATTCCTGGTGAGTTCGCATTCATGTGGCCTATACACGTGTCAGTTTGGGCTCCCCCAGAGGCAGACCCGGGAAAAAGATTTGAGGGTAAATCCTTCCTGCCAACACCTTGATTTTAGTCCTGTAAGACTCCTGTCTGGTTTCCGACTTCCAGAACTGAAGATAATAAATTAGTACCATTTCCAGTTACTAAGTTGGTGGGAATTTGTTACAGCAGCAATGGGAAACTAAAACAACTACGAACTCTCATTTCTTTTGAAAATCATGGTTATCTCAGACTGACATCTACTGTCTCACCTTTGATGGAGAAGTGACTTACCTCTCTGTGCCTGGACGTCCTCATCCCTAACATGGGTGTCACAAAGGGCCATTATGAGAATGAAGAGAGTTACTGTGAACTAATGCACCTAACACAGTGTCAGGCACACAGTGAGTACATGAGAAGCACAACCTACAGTGAGTGACCATTGTTACTCTAAGAAGAACAACTGCATGGCATGGTGAGGAAAGGCGACTGGCATTCAGCCTCTGTGTGGGGGACAGGCGGGAGTGGTGGAGACTGCGGTGAGCTGGTGAGCTCATGCCCCCTCCAAAGGGGACAGCCACTGCCCACCCCAACCTGGGTTGTTGTCATAGCTTCCAACTTTCCAAGAAAACCCAGAAATCTGGATCTGTTCCTATGCAGAGTTTTGTAATGTCTATGTATTGGCTACCAATTACTGTTTTAAAAACACTCAGTGCCTAGAAGTGTCCTAAGAATGGAAGGTCATCTTTGATGTCATAGCTGGAGAATCCAAAAGTTAAATGTGCCTGTGATTGCAGCTCTGCTTACAAAAGAGAACTTTCTAAGCGGTGAAGGGCTCCTTGTGGGCCAACCCCTGGAAGAATGCTTAAAGGTTCAGGTGCTCTCATATCACAGTAACCAGGGTAACACAGAGGCCACTACTGATCCTGTTTTACAAAGGAAGAAACTGAGGCCCAGAGAAGCCAAGAACGGACGCATCTCAAGATCACCCAGCTGGCAAATGCAGAGTCGGGGTGAGACCCCAGGCATTCGGGCTTTGGCGTCAGAACCGTTCCGTCTCTCTGACAGGATGCATCTCAGGGTTTGAACGCAGTGCCTTGGGCAGGAGGGCACAGCATCATGGTAGGAAATTAATGAATGACTTTCTTGTCATTTTTCCTTCCACCACCTCTCCTCTATGTCTTGACAAGACATGAAAAGAAGGTGGCGGGGGGGTGGCGTGTTTCCTGCCCAGGGGCTGAGGGGAGGGTGTAGATGGCAAAATCCAGGGCTTGGGTTAACTGGAGTGGAGGGGAAAGCTCAGCTTGTAAAGATGCTGGAGCCCGGGAGGTAAAAGCGGAAACCAAGTAGCTAAACTTCTGAGAAGCTGAAAAGTAGGTTAGTGGCCTGAGCTAGGGGCTTCCTGCCCTCACACATGATCAGACGCCCGGCCCGGTGTCCTGCTGCAGCAGTCTGCACGCCTGCAGGGTGCTCTCTGCTTCTCCTCCTTCTTCCCCTCTGTCCTTCTTTCTCCTCCCTCCTTTTCCACACCCCTCCTACCCCTACTCCTCCTTACTCACCCTCCCTCTTTCCCTCTTTCCTTCACTTCAAGCCTGAGAGGCCCCTCCTTGCAATGATCCTTGGAGGCTAAACATAGTGAGAGGTTCCAACCCCAGGCGGAAGTTCGTGGTTGCAATAAATACCTTGGCCCTGCACCTTGGTCTGCTCATCAAAGCCACGGAAACAGAAAGACCATGATGAGAGTAAAGGAAACTCCAGCGGGGGTTGGGGCCAGGCCTTTGGGGCTGTCCCACCTCCCACCAGCCCAGTAAGGGCAGAGAGGCATGAAGCCCTGTGTCCTTGTTGGTGATGGGGGTGTGAGTGGGCACTGTGTCCCTGCTCCTGTCTCCACATCAGGAGCATGGGGACAGAATAGCTCCTGTCCAGGTATGTATATAAAGATGTGACGTGAGTTGTCTGGCATCAGGAAAGTGCCCAAGAAATGTTCTTGCTAACAGTTCTAAATCACTTTTGGCACTCACACACTTACGGAGTTCTGACTGGATACCAGGCGCCGCACCAAATGGCTTTTCTTCATGCCTGATCTGACTTAATCTTTACAACAAACCTAAGAGGCAAGGACTGTTGTGACCTCCCATTTTACAGATGAGGAAACTGAGGCGCAGAGAGGTGATAGGACTTGCTCAAAGACACACAGCCAGGATGTGGGGACGTGGAATTGGAACCTAGGACTGTCATTGAAAAGCCTGTTCCCTTCAGCCCTGTACAGGGCAGCAACGACAACAGCCACATCAACAATAACAATAATAATTTATTCACCTCTGGGGTCTGATCCCTTGTCCTAGGGTCTTTGGAGGTAGGACTTCCTGCAGCCACACCACCATATGTGTTCATTCGCACAGACCACCTATGTGCATATCCTTACTGCCCCTCCCCCCCACTCTTCCCAGGCTCCCAGCCACTCCACGCTTCCAAACTGCCTCTCTGTACCAGAAGTCTGCAATAAGGGTGCTGGGCAGGATGTAGCCTCCACTTCCTCAGGAACTGTGGATTTGAGGGGAAGGCAGATCCAGGCATGAGGTCTCTGCTCTTCCCCAAGCTTGCCACATGGAGTTGAGCCATCTGGGTTCAGGTTTCTTATCTGTAAAGTGACCTCTGGAGGTCATTCCGTCTACTTCTCTGTCTCTGCTAGCCACCCTAGCCCTAATGGACCCAGATGAATAAACAACATTTGCTATTTATTCCAAGACCGGTGGTCAGGGGCCCAGGGTGACAGACAAAGCCGGGTCCTCACCCCAGAATGTGTTCTCTTGGCTGAGAGGAGCCTCGGGGTGTGTGTGTGAAGCGCACTTGCCATCGCAATGCCGTGCGCATGTGATGAGTCCGACTGTGATGTGGCAGGTGGAAGTCTGATGTGATGATCATGTGTGTGACTGCACGGCCCACATGAGTGCCTGGGGTTGGGGTGATGACTTGTGTGTTGTGTCATGTGTAGTTATCAAGAAGTGTCAGTGACCAAGTGTTTGTGCTGCTGTCTATGACTTGTATGTGGTTGTGTGAGAAACTGATGCTTTGTGTGCTGGATTCTGTCGTTGGGAAAGGGTGAGATTGTGGAGCTGTGTGATGCTCTGTGATGTGGTAGGTGCCCCTGTCTCTGTCTCCGTTTCTCTCTTCTCCCTCTGCTCCTTCCTTCCATCTTCAAATATTTTCTGAGTGCCCACTGTACCAGGCCCTGGCCTGGGTGCCGACGCACAGCTGTGGTGTCCTAGCTGGATGTGGCTGCTCAGCAGGGCCGGGATGCAGCCAGCAACCAGCCTCGGTGGGAGCATTCATACCTCGGAACTGGGCAGATTCAGGAAGCCCCTTCCCTCCAGGAAAAGCTGGTGGTCAAACATTTACCAGCACACGCCGTGCCTGTGCCTCTGAGTGTCACTTTGCGTGACTAGGCCGAGGTGTGACCACAGCCTGTGGGAGGAACTTGAGTATGACTGTGACCATGGGTGGGGTTGGGCTCTCCACATGGATGAGTCTGGGTGATAAATCCCACTCCTTCCACTCATACTTGTGGGAGTGGGGAGGGGGGATGTTTTCTGTTCTCAGACAAGTCCCTGGACCCCCTGCCCAAGTCCCACTTTCCTCGGAATCAGGAGCATAAATACCCACCCCACCCCTCCTTCCTGAATATCAGGCAGATCAGCTTTACCCTGTTTGGAGGCCCACAGACCTCATGTCTCTGGGTCTTTGTCTTCAATGTTGTCCGTGGTGGGCTCTGCAATTTTTTTCGGTCCTCTCCAGAGGTGCCCTCTGAGTCTCCAGCCTCTTAGCATGGCCGGGTTCTTGGCCTCTGGTGGTGATTTCCCAACTGCTGGGTTTTGGGGTCCCTGGGACATCCTTCAAGGTCTCTGCTTGCTGGTTCTCTGTCTCCTGGGAACCTCTGTGATCAGAGCCCATCCAGTCCACTGTCACTTCTTCCTTCACACCATGAACGCCCCGAAGTAGCACCGGGTGCCATCGCGGAGCCGGACTAGGCGCTCATCTGGCACCCGGACGACCACCTCCTCCCCAGCATCCAGGTGCACCACGCCACCCAGGAAGCTGCTGTCCCACCACCTTCGGGGGCTGGTCCCTGGCCTACAGGGCGACCGCCGGCTGACCAGCAACTCCAGCTCCTCAGGATAGCGAGGTGTGCGCTTGTAGAGGCCATGAGTAATGGGCAGGCCACCATACGGCCCTTTAGGGCAGTCCACGCCGCCCAGCTGCACCTTGGAGTAGATGTAATAGTAGCCAGCTCGGGCAACCACCAGGGCGCCATCCCGGTAGTGGAGGTTCCTCAGGAAGGCCAGGCCCAGCTTCGTCTCCCACAGCAGCGGGCCCCCGCTGCCAGTCAAGCTGGAGTTGGCCCCTGGGGAGGGAGGCAAAGGGGATGGGTCAGCATTTGCCCTACGTTTGCTGTGTGACCTTAGGCCAGTCGCCACCCCTCTCTGAGCCTCCACCTCTATGTATTAATTTACTTTATGCTCTCTCGTAGGTTGGGTAACTGAGGAACAGAGCAGTGAAATAACTTGCTTCTTATACACCCTACACTCGTCTTGTTGCCCTCTTGCTGGTAGGGAAACTGAGGCATGAAGCAATTAAGTGACTTGACAAAAGCATCCCAACTTGTCGGGGGCAGAACCGAGGAACGGAAGCAGCACCCACCCCGGTCTAGCAGCCTTATAACCCCTGTGTGCCTGTTTCCCTCTCAGTAAAATGGAGCTGTGGCCAGCACCTGCTCAGGAGTTAATGAATTAATGTGTGTAAGGTGTGGTGTAAGGTCATGGTGTAAGGCACCCGTGGGCCCTGCTCACAGGGTTTATTCAGTGAATCGAGTCAGAGATGCACTGACCTGGGCTGTGCCTGTGCCCTGAGCAGCCCTGAACGAACACTGAACGAACACACGATGACTACTCTCACAGGCTGTGTGTCTGCCTGGTCTCCCCAGGACACGCCGCTGCCGCCCCCGCCTCCTGCCAGGACCAGGGTCCCCCTCACCTGTGAGATGTGCTACCGGGTTGGCCTGGTGGGACCTCCGCTCTGGAGAGAGAGTCAGAGTCAGTGGGGAGGACAGTGTGGGGGGTCAGGGCGAGCCTCCAGAAGGTCATCACGTCCACCTCCTGCCACCATCCCCGCCCTTTCCGGAGTGACCCAAACTTCTGCTTCTCGGGCTTGGGGGAGGGGCACCCGTGGGCTTTGGGTTTGTTGTGCAAATCCCACTGGGCAGTGGGGGTGGGGCAGCGTGGGAGCCATCCCAAGCCTCTCCCTGGGGACCAGGACCCTGACTCACCTGGGATCAGCTCTTCCCGGGACCACGGGTCGCTCTCCTGAAAATACAGAGGAGCACAGAGTGAGGACGTGAGGGGCCGGCCCTGGTGTCCCTCAGACTCACAGGGAGACCGTAGGTTCAGCATCACCCTCAGACCCACACCCAGGGCCTCGTGCGTGTGCTCCCCGGCCCCAGGGACCTCAGCTGTGTGGTGCCTCAGTTTTCCCCTCCGTAAATGGACATACAAAGAGTGCCTGCTTAGGATTCCAGGAGTTCATTTGTGTAAAGCGTATCACAGTGCCTGGCTCTGAGAGCATAGTAAGCACTCTGTAAGGGTTTATTCAATAAATGATATTCCAGATCCATAGACATATGGACATAAATGCCAACATGTGGATATGGACAAGTGACACTGGATACTTAAGTGACAATGACAAGACACACGTGGATGCACAGTTTATGGGTCCAGGAGAGTCTGTGACACACAGAGACCTAGAAACAAAGACAGCACCAACCCACGGGCTGGGGACAGGAGGGGGTGCGGGTGCATGGGTATGTACGCAGGACAGCAGCGCAGGCCACGTGGGCACGAGGACACGCACATGTGGCCGTCAGATCTAGACGCAAAGAGAAATGACCTGGGGACACAGGACACAAAGTCTCGACCACATGGGCATGACCTGAGACACACATAGACCCAGAGGTGTGGCCAGCAGACAGTCACATCCATGGCCAACCAGGAAGAGACGCGGAGAGATTCTCAGAGACTCAGACAGAGTGGACTAGCGGCAATCCCAGTGACAGTGACCGGGACGGCAAGTGGTAATTACCGGTGCCAGAAGGTGGGTTTCAGAAGCTACGGACAACAAAGCGGTGTCATAAGCATTAAACTGGCTGACAGACTAGATTTCAGTTGTTCCCAAATAGAAGAAACAATGATGTGACACCGTAGAGATGCCAGCTGCCACTGCAAGGGTGATTCTATAGTGATAGAAAGGCACCTGGTCGATGTGTTATGCGCCCTTCACCTCCGCAATGTTAATTTTGTAAAAAAGCAACATTGGCTTCCATTGGGTGGATGCTTGCCACGTGCCAGGCACCACGGGCACAATTCGCACAACATCATATTTTAGTCCCTCTGAGGTGGGCACTCATTTTCATACCCATTTTACAGATGAATAAATTGAGGTTCTGGGAGGTGAATGAACTCACCCTGCACTGCTCTGCGTCTGTCCCCTGCCCAGCACACCCATGCCCAAAGACACATGCAGGGACACAGGAGACCAGCCTGCCGTGAGCCCCCTGGCCCCACTCACCGGCAGTGGGGTGACCATTTGTCCCAGGCGCTGGTGCAGCTGCAGCAGAAACCAGCCCTGCACTGCCATCCCGGCCACCAGCAGCAGCAGCAGGAGCCCCAGACCCAGCTGGGCAGCACTGCAGGTTTTTTTCCAGCGGCTGGGCCCCAGCCTTGTGAATGGGATGTCCGTCTGTCCGTCTACCACGAACACTGAAGGCCGCACCACTGTCTCCTCCATGCCTGTGCTGATGAGGCCCCAAACACCCAGGCTAGGCCGGTACAGCTGGGTCTCGCTGGCTGGAAGGAAAACCACAATTGCCCAACACTCCTGGGCTTCACACGCTGCAGACAAGCACCCGTGGGTCCTGGGGCTGCCTTTAGAGCTGGGGTTCAGCCCCTCCCCTTTCCCCCTCACCCTCCTCTTCTTCCTGTCCCCACACCCCCGCCGGCCCCATCTCACTCTCACTCATGCAGCTCTCATACTTTCCAGAGGCAGCTGAAGACGTGACTCAGGTGGAGACTGGAGAGCAGAGGCCCTGGCTTTCCCTTCTAGCTGCTTCGTCCACTCAGTTGCCAAGTATTAGCTGAGTATCTCCTGTGTGCCAGGCACTGTTCTAGGTGCCAGGGCACAACTATGAACAAGAGGGACAAAAGTCCCTCTTGGTCTTACAGAGATCCTATTCCAGTCAGGCGAGAAAGACAATGAGTCCAATAAATAAGAAAGTAATCTATATGGTTTTAGACAGTGATAAGGGTAAGAGAAAATACAAGAGTGGCTTGTGTGTGTGCATGTGTGTGTGTATATATGCTTGTGTGTACATGCACGTCTGCATGCAGGTGTGTGTTGTGTGTATGCATGTGTGCACATGTATGTGGCATGCGTGAGCACATGGAGGTGTGTGCGCTTACATGTCTGGGTGTGTACGAGTCAGTACACACATGGCATGTGCACACATGTGCATCTAGGCAGGTACAGGAGTGGGCATATGTGTGTGCATGTATGTATTCATGTGTGTGTGTGTGAGTTTTAAAAATTGTTTATTTATTTTTGGAGAGAGGGGAAGGGAGGGAGAAAGAGAAGAGAAACATCTCTCGATGTGACAGAGAAACATCCATAGGTTGCCTCTCACACACCTCCAACCAGGGACCTGGCCCACAACCCAGGGACATGCCCTGACCAGGAATTGAACCAGAGAACTTTTGGTTTATGGGACGATGCCCAACCCACTGAGCCACACCAGGCAGGTGCATTTTAAATTTTAATCAAAGTCATGGGGGGACCACTATCCAGCCAGGTAAATAAGCCTAGGGCCCTGGAGTCATTCTGGACCCTCCATTTGTCCTGTCTCCCACATCCCACCCTTCAGCAAAGCCTGGAGATTCAACCTCCAAACCAGGCCTCAAATTCAGCCATCTGTTTCCATCCCCATCACTGCCACCCTAGCTAAGTGCTGCAGACTGAATGTTTGTGTCCCTCAAAGGGCCTATGTTGAAGTCCCAGTCTCTGGTGTGATATATTTGAAAGTGGAACTTTAGGGGGATAGTTGGGTCATGATGGTGGAGCCCTGGTGGTTGGGTTACTGGCCTTATTCAGTGGCACAGGAGAGAGATACTGTGTCCTGTGTGAGAGCACAGTGAGCTGGTGGCCATCTGCAAACCAGGAAGAGAACTCTCTCCAGAACCCGATGAAACTAGCACCCTGATCTTAGCTTCTAGCTCCCCAAACTGTGAGACATGAATGTCTATTGTTTAAACCATTCACTCTGAGGCATCCTGTTATAGTAGCCCAAATGTTCTAACACATTCAGGCGCCCACCATTTCTTGCTTGGTCTGTTGCAGTAGCTTTCCAGCAGGATATCCTGCTTTACCTCTTGCCACCTTATAATTCATTCTTGTCTTATACCTAGTATAACCTCACTTATGCATATATTGACTTATGTATGTTTTATTTTATTGAGGTGAAGTTCATACATCATAAAACTAACCATTTCAAAGTGGGTTGCTCAGTGGCATTTAATGCCTTTACCATGTCGTGCAACTCTATCTAGTTCCAAAACATTTTCAATGTCCCCAAAGGAAACCCCATGGCCACTGAGCAGTTGCTTCCCACTCCCCAATCTTCCTGGCCCATGGCAGCCACTAGTCCATGTTCTTGCTCTGTTGAATTACCTGCTCTGGATAGTTCATGAAAGTGAAAGCATACAACGTGTGGTCTTTTGTGTCTGTCTACTTTCACTGAGTCTCCTGTCCTCAACATCCCTCCACATGGTAGAAGTGTCACTGCTCTGCTCCTTTGTTATGGCTGAGTGACATCCCAGTGTGTGGACATTCATCTGTTGTGTGTATCCATTCATCTGTTGGTGTGCATTTAAATTGTTCCCACCTCTTGGCCACTATGAATCAATCTGCTCTGAGCCTGCATGCACGTACATTTTCTGGGTACCAGGTTTCAATTCCTTTGGGTACATAACTAGGAGTGAAATGGCTTTTTAAACACTTCAGGCAGCTCTCATCTCTCCACTGTTTAAAATCTTGCAATGGCCTCCCATTGAGCTTATTAGCAAACTACAGCCCATGGGCCAAATCCAGCTGACCTCCTGTTCCCATACAGCCACCAGAGTGGCTGCCAGGAGCGGAACCTTGGTGAGCTGTAGAAACACATCTGGGGTGCCCTCCTCTGTGCCCTAATCCCCACTCTGCCTCCATGACTGGTAGCCAAAACCTCACCACAGTCCATGTTGTGTACTGGTCACACTTGGTCACCAGCTACACGCTGGATTGTCCTCCCTGGTGACTGTCGGGCACTAAGTGGATGAATCTCATTTTGGGGGTGGGTGACTCAACATATCGCCTTGCCTCAGGCCAGCTAATCCAGAGGAGATGGCTGGACCTTGGGAGAGAGCCTGGCTGAGATCCAAAGCAGTGAGGGAAACTGGCCTGGGGGAGGGTCACCCCTACCCCTTCACCTGCTTGGACTGCCAAGCCTCAGATGGGTCACTCTTCATCTGGAGAATATCCACAGCAGTGAGGCGCCAATCATGCCCACCACCCTGGGGAACCATCCCAAGCAAACAGCGTATGCCAGGGTGAAAGTACCTTCACAATATCTTCAATTTTATCTCACCCCTCCAAGCTTAAAATATTTACTATCTTGCCATTTAAAGAAAGAATTTTCCATCCCCTGAGCTTAGAATGGACACTGCATGGCTGTCACTATCTTGAAGCCCTTGTACCCTTGAACATGTTGAAACTGCTGTCTCAGGGCCTTTGCATTTACTGTTCCCTCTGCCTGGAACAGTCCTTCCCAGATCCTCCTTGTCATCTACATCTTGACTCCAGAACTCTCTCTTCACAGGAGACTCCCCTGACCACCTGTATTAAGCAGGGTTTTCCAGAGAAAAAGAACCAATAAAATACCTACATATATATACCTGTATCTGTGTACCTCATTTATAGCTATATCTATATCTCATCTATACCCAATTTGTACCTATATTACCTAGTATGTGTGGAGAGACAGAGACAGAGGTTTACTTTAAGGAATTGGCTCATGCGGTTGTGTGGTCAGCAAGACTGAGATCTACTGGATGAGCTAGCAGGTTGGAGGCTCATCTGAGTTGATGCTGCAGTCTTTAATCTGAAGGCTAGAAACTCAGGCAGAATTTCTTCACCACTGTCTTGAATTCCCTTTTCTGCGAGAAACCTAATTTTTTTTCTTCGTCCTTTCAATTGACTGGATAAGTCCCATCCACATGATCAAAGGTAAACTGCTTTTAAAGTCAACTGACTGTAGGCATGAATCCCATTTTAAAAAATATCTCCATAGCTACATTTAGCTGGTGTTTCACCAAGCAATTCATCTCTATGGCCTAGCTAAGCCCACACATGACAGGGACCATCCCTCTGTCTAAATGACCTTTACTGGTGGCCTCATCACAGGCAGCCTCCTCGCGGTGCCCTGTTCTCCCTCCCTCACCATCCGAAACCAGCTCCATGCTGTCTTCAGAATGGAAGTTTCCTCCGATCCTGTCTGTGCTGTTCACAGCCTAGAACCACAGGTGCTGAAACTCAACAAAACCCCTCGCTTTCAAGAAATGAAGAAAATGGGCAGGAGAAAGGGGAAATAAGCAAGAAATGAGAAGATGGACATAAGCTAGGGGAAGGGGGGAGAGCAGATGTAGCAGGGACATCCAGTGAGTGATGAGAGTCTTTGAGTCTCCCCTCCACCAAAGTCTCTGGCAACTAGGGGCTGAAGTGGACCGTGAAGGTGTCCCCCATAGTCCTGGAAGTGGGAGGTAAAGGTTTCTAGGACCTGGGGGTCTTAGGGGAAGGAGGCTATGCTGGGGTGACTTTTTCCCCTGATGGCTTGACCTAGAGCCCTGAGCTTAGATCCCACCCTGAACAGTCCTCGAGGACCTAGAGGTTAGAAGAGGCCTTTGGAGCCCCGGTTTCACTTTGCAACCAGTAGTTCCACTCAGCCCGGTGGTTGCCATCCCCACCTTACCACCCCACGCAGTTCTGGTGCTGCTGTGACCTAAATAGCTCCTGCACTCCCTTCAACTGCTGACTCATGCCTTCCCCTCACTCACTCACTCAGAGCTCCAGCCGGAAATATCACCTGACCTGCCCCTTACCACCCCTTCCTGGGCACAGCCACCCCACTGGGTCCTACAGAAGCATTGAGGAGTCTGCTCAGGCCCATCTAGAAAGTGAGGATTGGGAAGGTGGGGTGAGCTTAGAGCAGGGGTGTCAGACTCATTTTCACCGGGGGCCACATCAGTCTCGCGGTTGTCTTCAAAGGGCTGAATGTAATTTCAACTCCTTAACAGTTAAGGAGTAGTTACATTTATATAGTCCTAAAATTATTTCAGCTCTGAAAGCAACCATGAGGCTGATATGTTTGCTGGTGAAAATGAGTTTGACAACCCTGGCTTAGAGGACAAAAAGGAATGCAGGTGAGATAGTAAATGGAGATAGTAAGTTCTCTCTGTGGATGGATGATGATGAGAACAGGTGAGGTTGCAGGTGAGGACGCAGAAAGGAGAGGAAGGCTGTAGGGTTATGATGCTGATGGAGACACAGGTAAAGATGCAGCAGAAAGTGCAGGTGAGAAGGCAGGCAAGGATGCTGGTAAGAAAATAGGAAGAGATCCAGAGAAGAATGTAGGTAAAGATGCAGGTGAGGACTCAGATGAGGGTACAGATAAAATACAGGTGAGAATGCAGATGGAAAGACAGGTGAAAATATAAGTAAAGATACATATAAGTTTATAGACAAAGATGGAAAAAATGTAAAAGGATGCAAAAATGCAGGTGGACATAGTTGAGTATGCAGGT